TATGGTGGGATTCGTGTGTGCTGGTGAGGATCTGCTTAACGTTGGCAGGTTGTCTGGGGGCGAGGACTGGGCTGCCTCCCAAGGTCTGTGAAAGTGAGGGATCATTGTCCAGGATGGGTTGTAGATCATCCCACTCCAGCCACCAAGCAGATACACTGTGTTAAGGACTGAGGAGACCCTCTGCTGCCAGCTCTGCCTCTTTGGAGGAGAGGGGGTCAAAGAGAGTCCCTGCTGGCTCTCCTGGGGAGGAAAAGCACCCCATTATTGCTGTCCATGCCTCTCCAGGAAAGATGGGAGGGCACCCTGTAACTTCCGTTCCAAGTTGGGGGTGGGGCCACAAGGGATCCCTTTGTCATGGTGTGCCTGGGACCCCCAAATGCCTTAATTCAGTCCCGGGGGCCTGCCTTTGTTAGTGGAGTGGAGGCAATGAGATTGCAATGTGATATGAGACAAGAAGGGAGGGTTAGAGATGTGAAAGACCTTGAAGGGGAGGACAGGAAATGTAAACTTAATAGTGTGTCAGGGAGAGCCAGTGGAAAGATTTAAAGAGTGAGGTGCTGTGGTCAGTTTAACGGGCAAGGAAGATGATTTTAGCAGCTTCATTTTGCCTTTGAGCTTCAGTCATGAAAAATTTCAGAGTAGCAGCCGTGTTAGTCTGTATATGCAAAAAGAACAGGAGTACTTGTGGCACCTTAGAGATTAACAAATTTATTAGAGCATAAGCTTTTGTGGGCTACAGCTGAAGCACGAAAGCTTATGCTCTAATAAATTTCTTAGTCTCTAAGGTGCCACAAGTACTCCTGTTCTTTTAGTCATGAAAAACTACAGCAAGATTGTTCCTGATGGAAACTCCTTACACCACTCAGAAAAGCAATCATCTGAAAACGACAATACTTAGCACCTGATCAAACAGCACATTGCAAACAGAGTGTGGGACAGAGGAGTTTACTCCCTGTAGGATCTGATTAAAGCATCATTAAAAGAATTGAAGAACACGCAAATCAGCATCACCAAAAATGTTATCACTTCCATTTACATATTTAACAGCTATGCATGAAATTGCTGCAGCAATACCTTGTTTTTGTTTTTTTTTACCACACGTCCTCCCCACAGCAAGATTGCTATAGCACTGCAGCCCTCACCCACTCAGATGTCCTGCTCTCACACAGGCTGTTCTAAAGAGGGCAAACCCACAAGAGATGTCACTAAAAAACATGACCTTTTATTGGTTTGGCTTATAATATATTTTATATTTTCAGTTGGGTGAAAGAGTGAATCCTGAGCGCCATCTGAAAGTGTTGACTGTGTTTGTGTTATCCTGTTAGCTTGGCAAGTCAAAACTCAAGAAACAAAATGTGATTCCACATGGAAAAGTGTGGCTGTATTACATCTGGTGAGAGATCCTCTGAATCACAGATATTCAGGGGGCGGGAAGATTCTGAGAAGTGGTAATGCTGAACAAGACCTAAAGTAGCTGGAGAGTGGACAGGGCATTAGACATGCTTCTAATGTGAGATGACAGCAAAAAGACCTATGCAATTTTGAGCTGCATAAGTCACAGAGACAGAGATAATGGTACCTTTCTGTATAGCCCTGATGCAAACAGATCTGAAATACTGCATTCAATTCTAGGCAGCCCATTATCAGAAAGTATAGGGTTGCTCATAGAACAGCAACAAAAATTACCAAGGTTTTGGAAACTCTGCCCTGTGAGTAAAGACCTAAGATCTAAATATGGCTAGACGTGCTAGGGGGACAAAATAAGAGTCTACAACTATCTGAGGTGTAAAACACCAAGGAGAAAGGAGAACTATTTAGGGAGGCACAAAGGGGTATAATTAGGAGTAATGGTATAAGGGACTGAAATTAAGCAAAATAAAATTTAGGATGAGTACCATTAAAAGTCTTTTGGCTATGAAATAAATCTGTTACACTGTAGAATAGTCACTCTGGAAGCCCTATTGCTTGGGACAATTAAAACGAGACTGAGCATAGCACTAGACTATCTGTGTCTAGGCACAATTCTGCATTGGCTGATGGTGTGTGTGGGCTAACTGATCTTACATTGAGGGATTTTCCATCTCTAACTCCTGTGGTTCTAAGTCTTTCTCCTCTTTAGGACACTGTTTAGCATGTCTGAAGCAAACCTGTAAGAGAGAAGGCAAATAGACTAGCCCTCCGGGAGGGAAAATCTAAAGAGAAAAAAGGACCAAAGAAGTGTTTGCGTACAATATTCTACAGTCACACCAGAAATCATAGTAAAAAAAAAAACCAATGCAACACGCTGTCCTCATGCAGACTTTTGCTGGAAATGATACTGTTAAGCTCCTAAGAACATGGACAAACATTCACAGCCACAAATTGTTCATTCTTTCCACTCAGCATGCATATTTTATTCCTGTCATATAAGATGATAAATTTGCATGCTAGGATCTGTAAATCTGTGATTATTCATGGCATATATAAACAAATAAAAAAATTTGTTTCCTCTAAACTTATAGAAACTTTTTAATTTTAAGAATAACTGAAATGTACTAACATCAAGAAATTGAACTGTGCACCAGCATTGGATGGACCCGTATTAAATAGTGTTACAGTAGATGACAGCCTTAGAATGTTAACCCTAGTCCTTTAGATAAAAAGGTCGTTTTTGTTGCCTTTGCCCTTGCGAACTGAAGCACAACATCAGAGAGATCCAAAGACTGGCCAATGGCATTTTCAAGTAATAAAATAATGAGTGTCACTTACCAGCTTCACAGTCAAATTTGTACCACTGTCTATAGGATCTTGCATCTGATGCTGAAAACAGGAAGCATATCCTTTGCAGTACTCCGAAGAGGATACTGAATCTAAAGAAGATGATGATGCATCTGACACAACCAGTTGAAGGAATGGCAGCCACAAGGCATGAAGAGAGCTCTTGGATGCAGTGCAAGGATCCCCCTATTTCTTCTCTTCATGTCACAGTTGGGCTCTCACTTCATTTCAGGTTTCAGAGTAGCAGCCGTGTTAGTCTGTATCCGTAAAAAGAACAGGAGTACTTGTGGCACCGTAGAGACTAACAAATTTAATAGAGCATAAGCTTTCGTGTAGTCCACGAAAGCTTATGCTCTAATAAATTTGTTAGTCTCTAAGGTGCCACAAGTACTCCTGTTCTTTTCACTTCATTTCAGTTCGTCCTTATATCTCACTAACTGATGGGTGACGCACCGCCACTTAAATACCCACAAGGGCATGGCTGACAACATTCTAGGAGGTTGGAGGAAAATGTAGTTCTCGGAAAGTCTGGAAGTTTCCACGAGATTCTACGAAGGCCCAGAACATTCTAGGAGATTAGTGAAAAATGGATCCACATACAGAATACCTGAAACATTTTACTTCAAATATTCTATGTTCCCCTTTGTCGCTAACAATAAAAAGAGCACCCCAAGCCCAGCGCACCCCAAGCCCAGCACCCAGGGCAGTCACCTGTCCCTAAATCCAACCCTGGACAGGA